ATGAAAACCTACTGGCAGATATCAGTGGTGATTTTTTTTTCTGGGTTATAGCTTGAAAAAAATCAGTCCTAGAAATACATCTGGGTCCCACAGACTCAAAGTTTGGATTCATCCATCCACATTTAGGTTTATTTGACATAAGGTGCAAAGAAACACTCTTCCCACCCTCCTTTCCCCCCCCCTTTTTTTTTTCTCCTGGAATTTATTCCAAATATGGAAGAAAGAAAGGCAAGAAGGAGGGTGTCTGACAGTAGCCACCAGTGCCACCACTGCCCTGTGTTGGGGGCAGTGGCAGGAGAAGACTCCCTGCTTGTGGGTTGCTTTTTGAATGGAAGGGAAGATGCTACACTGCTCACACTGTTTGATTTGCAAATGAAAACAGGGAAAACAGGTCACTCCTCAATGCCGAGGCCAAAAGCAGGGATTCTCCAGGTCTTACCAACTAATTGCTCTACTTTGCTAGACTTTTTCTTAATGTATATCTTCTCTCTGGCTGTGGTCACTCCTCTGCCCACTGTTCATATGCCCACTGGCATAAGAAAGACCGTGTCATGCTTTCCTTGCCAGACATACAGGAGCAGGAAGAGTGTGGGAGAAGAGTGAGGGACCTCTTTACCATTTTTATATTGTGTGGTGTGTGTTGGATGCTAGAATGCAGAAAAATAAATCTCCTCATCAATAAATAGATATGAGAAGAAATTACTTCTTTCATCATCCTGGTAGGTGATAAGCCTGTAGCAATTTATCAACTGTCCACTAGAAATAAATGTCTGTTGTCATTTTCTCACATTTAATAACGTTATACTTCTCTGTAATTTTAGCTATTCATCCCAACTGCTACCTTTTTTTTTTCTTCTCTTTGAAAGAGTGAGCTTAGAAGAGAAAGGATAGTTTAACAAGGCTTCCTCCTTTCTTTGCCAAGACAGCAAAAAGATTGTAAAGAACACCAAATTAATTATTCGGATTCATTAATCCAGAAGATGCCCACTTGCTTAAAGTAGAATAAACACCAAGCAGTCTCACTTGGATGTTCAGTGGCTTTGAATTTGAGCTTGCTTTTACAATACTACCAGCATTATTGTCTCTACTTGCTGTCCCAGAGCCACTACTACATTTTCCTGTCACCCTCTGGGAGATGTCTCCACCCTGTGTGTCAGGTACAGGAGATGAGGGCCATATTTCCTTATCATGAGTAAACCTTTCCTATAATTCTAGACAGCATGAGCTGAAGTTCTTTAGTCCTTCAGCAAGCATAGCTAGTAGGCAACTTACTGGAAGCTTTGTTTAAGTGGAAGGGGGTTTTTACACAATTTGATATGACAGTGAATAATACCATCTCTCCATTAGCACCTCTTCTACCCCAATAGGAAATTAACATTATTCTAGACTACACTCACACTTTCATCTTTCAATATGACTGGGCCTAATTATGCTGCAGGGGTAATCAGCAGCAGAGCTGGAGCTTCTGGTTGTCGAGTTTGGGATAATTGGAGTTTGAGGCTTTTGGGAAGACATGACAGAAGGTTTGCAGTAGGAAGACAACTACCTGCTATAAGTAGGTTATCTCCTTATCTAGATGACCAGAAAAGATATAGTCTGTGGTTCAGCTGCCACACCAAGTTACACGGGATGGCTTTTTCCTGTCAGAATATGGCCTATAGTAAGAAAAGGAGGCACTCAGTCAAAAATCTTATATTAGAGCTTCTTAAAACATTTGCATGGAATATAGATGAGGATCATGCCATATATGTGATCCATCACAATAGAATGTCTCTAGAATGGGGTAAATTCATGCTATTCCTAATGTGACAGACTTCTCTTGAGGAGGTAAAATCACTGCGGGTTGCATTGGTTTAGGCTGGACTCTGCAGGAACACATATGTTATCGTCTTGTGTCTTAAAGCCCTCTTTGTGCCCTTGCACAAGAATCTCTTCCAGCTGGGCTATTCTCCCTTCTCCCATACTCCTGGCCAAGCAGTGGTGCAACTCTCTGTCTTGCAGTAGGTATTTTCAGGTGAGAAAGGAGCTACAGGCTAGAGCCTTCCTCCCAGGCAGAGACTGGCCTCATCTTGTGCTCTTGCCTGCCTGAGTGCTATCTCTTCACACCAGCTGGCCTGGGATGGGTAGCCTCCCTTCCCTGGCATAGTTTTAAAAGAAAACAGCCTCATGAAGTATTGCTTGAGCCTATCTGTGAGATCTAGATGGAGTTTTGGCACCTTCTGGCCTCTGTTTGAATTGCAGATTTTTTTTTTACAAGAGGAATTGCTGGGCTTTTCCAGAGTAGGAGCCTCCAACCCTGTACTGGTGCATGTATTTCAATAACCAGTAAAACGTGCAATTTAAAGCAGAGGCACTGATTTATTTTAGGACCCTCCCAGGGCAAATCCAATTAGCCCAGTGGCTGTGATCATTGCAGAAACAGGGAACTGCCGAGGTGGGATACTTCTGGATCATCCCAGAAAAAAAATTCAGTGCTGGAGGTTTTTGCATAGAAAGTAACATAGGTAAAAATCAAATTCTCTAACAATCCCAAATTTGCCTAAATAAATTCCACATTCACTGAGAATATCAGCACATGAACAACATATACAAGATAAGCATTTAAAAAAGGAAGCCTTTCTGCATCACATTTTTAAATGGACCCAAGTCCTTCAACTTGCCTTCTCCAGATCTGGCTTTGAAATGATTTACAGCATGTTGTGAGCTTGTAATCATCTCTGAGATAAAGCATCTCAGCTCTAAAGGGAAGCTGAAATTTTTGTGATGCAAATATTTTGAAATAGGGAAGCCATTCCGTCTTATCCTTTCATAGCAGATCATGACGTAATTACAATAATTTTACTGCAGAGCTACAAATGCAAGCATAAGGAAGGCATGTGGGCAGTCCTGCACGGCTAACAAGGGATGAAGGACTTGTAGATCCTCAGCTTCCAAACCCTGGATCAGCTCCAGCCCTGAACACAGCAACAACTGTCAGATATGTGACAAAAAAAGATTTGAACTCACCATTATCATCCTACTGACAGTAGTACATATTTTTTTTCCTCAGGTTATCCACGGTGTAATTACCCACCCCCCACCTAGTTAGGAAATTGTGCCCTGTTCTTCATCTGAATCTGCTTGAAACAATCTTTCAGACACCTTTTGTTATAGTACAAGAGATTCATCCTGGTTTTAAATTTCTGTATGCAAGTATCTATACTCAGAGCTTGAGCCACATCTCAGCTGCTTGTCAGTGAACTGAACAAGTTGAGCTGCTTAAGTTTCAAATCATGACTTATTTTCCAGTCCCTTGAGATATTTGTAACCCTCTTGAATTCTCTCCCCCTCTCTGTCCTCATTATTTCTGTGTATTTTCTGAGGTGTGGATGAATAGCCATAAACAGACCAAACGTGTATCTAGTCTAGTGTTCTGTCTCCCACATAGGGCACAGTAACATTAATAACAGTGTAAAAAGGTGCTGCTTTCTTCCCTGCTACCCGGTCCAGCATTCAAGTGATGTGAAGCTCATTGTCCTACACACATGTGCTCTTAGCCTGAACCAGGATCACTTGCAGTTTTCTGCTTGACATTCCTTGTTGTATGGATCCAGGGATCACATTAGCATATTTCTTCCCCTTGCAATGCCTCAGAAGCTCACGTTGACCCACTGTCTGTGATTTTTTTATAAGTCCTCCATGGAGCTGCAGCTTTCCAAGACAGCTTCTAGCTCTAGCAAACAAAACACACCGTCTGATGGAGCCAGTACACATGATCCTGCAAGCTAACCTCCTGTCCTTATCTGGAAAGCCACCCTGTATTGTCTCCTGAGCTAGGATACCAGTTTTTCCAGAAAGAAACATTCTGCACCTCCACATTAAAGAGTGCAGAAGGTGAGATATTAGTATTTGACTTCAGACCACTTCCAAGCCTACCTGCTTTTCACCTCATATTAGGAGAGTAAGCCTTGCCTGCTTTCCAGAGATTTTAGCTTGCAGGAGTGTGACTTGCAAACTTTCAATGATAGAGCTGTTCTAAAAAGTGTGAGAGCTATTTGTAGTAAATAAAATACATTTAAATGTATAGTCAGCTCCTGGATTTTTTGAGACAATCAGCAGAGAAGGCTTAAAAACTAAAAGCAGTGTTGACTGTCTTTCTGAAAGAAAACTGAGATTCCCTTATAATACTCTAATCACCGTAGGTGTTAGGACATGAAAAGTTACAGCAGCATTATACAGGAAGGAATGAGTTGGCAGTACTGCCACCACCTTTATGTCCTAGGACTTCTAAATGTACATGAGAGAAATCACATTCAAATCTCCAGGTGTGCAGGTGTTTCCACACCACCACCCATTTGCTCTGGTATGCACAGACCCCCTCCTCCCACCCCATTCCTACTATCCTTCATGCATTCTCACCCCTGAATCCTGTGTCTGCTCTTCAGCATCACAGGCACAGGCAGATAGATTCCACCTCCCTTTATTTACAGCCATCATGCAAGACCTACCCCCTCACCCACAAGTACGTATTCCAAAGTCAGCGCATATACACCAGACCCTGCACTTGCACATTGAGAATGCATTTAGAATTGTATACTGGAGACATGAAAAGATATACAGGGTCCCTGTTTTCCAGGCACTCAAGGTGCCTGAATCTTTGTGAGGGGGAGCTTCAGCAAAATGCCTTTTGCAGCTTGCTGGGATTTGGAAGCCACCAGCTAGGTGTGTATAGGTCTGAGCTGCTCTTTCCCAAATTGAGTGGTTGTGATAGATTATATTTATACCTTCACTGTTCCAGCCGTTCACAAACCATCCCACACATCTCTTATATTAGAAGGCTTCTACCTAATATTTTTTGAGCGGGGCATATGGGACCATGATTATATCATCTTTATTTGTTTTTCTCCATTCACTCTCACTCCTCCATTATTCTCTCTCCCTGCCAATACCATTTAAGGATCCACTAAAATATTACACAGTGGTTTTTACTCATCACCATCTTTTTCCCTCCTTTTTGGCAGATGCTTACCCCAATTCTGAAGTGATCTATGTGTGGACTAACAGCACCACAACGTCTGTGGTGGTGGCCGAAGATGGCTCACGACTTAACCAGTACCACCTGATGGGACAAACTGTAGGAACTGAAAACATCAGTACCAGTACAGGTACGGAGAATATTTCCATGCCATGGCTGCTAATAGATGGAGTGGGAGAGGAGATCCACAGGCTCTGGTTATTTTGCAACAAGGCTAGAGAAGTATGCGTGGGATGTGGAGTGTTAGGGAGATCCTGTGCAGGTTCATGGCCACTTAGCAGAGACACTTAAACACTGAGAGGATTATGTGCTGGCTCTTAGGTACATTGCAAGTCTGTTGCTAAAGATGCATCCAAGTCCCTGCTATTTACAGGAGTACCGGAGAAGCTGCACGCAGCTTCTTGGCGATCGCCTTTGCTGAGGCTGCCGGTGCTATTGCTGGCTTATTTTCTCGTGGGAGGAACCACCCTGGGAGGCAAACACCACCCACGCATTTGATCCGTTTCAATCATCGCTTTAAAATGATTGCCTGATGAGACCGCGGGGGGGAGGGGAAGGAAGAGGGGGGAAGGGAATAGGGAATTGAGGGTCAAGTGGGGGCTGTGGCTTGGCGTGGCTCTGCAGCGTGTCCAGGGGACCACGTGGCCGGAGAGGAGGTGCAAACCCCGAGGATTCCCATTCCCTCCGAGGCTGCAAGTGGAGGTGCCAGATGTGGCAGCATTAGGGAAGCAAAGAAGCTTTAATCCCAGGCCGGGCATCCACGTGAGCCATGCCCCCCTGCTTCTTAAGGCTCCCACGCAAGGGCAGCCCTGGGTGTGCATTGGTGCCGGGGGGGGGGGGTACTCCCGAGGGGGTCGGGGCCGGGACAGGGATCACGTGCGCTCAGCAGGACGGAGGCTTAACCAGGTTACACAATGCACTCAACTGGAGAGCATTAGTGGCATCCATCGGGGCAGGGAAGAGGGGGGATGAAATAAGCCTGCTATGAAGGGAAGGTTAGGGAAAGGAGCAGCCTGTGACAACATGGCTGGGAGCAATTCCTGCAGGAAAAGCCCAACAGAGTCTGCTGCTGATACATTGTATGCCTGGTAAAAAATGATGGGCAGAGTTGTAGAGGACAAAATATAGATTGAATTAAGAACCTGTTAGTATCTGCAGGAAATGTAGGAGTTGTGAAAACAGGTACACGTACACTTGCACACAAAGTTAGCTTGACCGAAACATGAAGATGCATAAATATTTGTGCTCCAGCCGGCAAAAAAAGAGGGAGCATCTGAGCTTGCCGCTTATACTTCAAACAGGACACAAAGTGAGGGAAGGCTTGCCGTGGGCAGCCACTAAACACAACTGCCATGTCCATCCTATAGACCTTCATCCTATAGACCCTCTCTTGCACATTGCAGGAGACACAAAGCTGCTGCTAAAGCAAAGATACCTAAAGTCAAGAGAAGCATGTAGACAGAGTGGTCACTTCTGCAGGAAAAGAAGGAGTATGCTATCTGCCATGAAAGAGTAAAGACACTTTTTTCCTTACCAGTTCACCATCATAGCCGCGTTGTTTTCTGCAATGAATGGCAGCTCCCCTCTCGCCTTCATTGTTGCCAAGAAAAAGATCCAAAGGATGTACTGGAGCATCTCCTACAAGCTCGTCCTGCTCCTCAGAGCAAGAAAACCATCCAGCCCAGGCAGTGAGTGCTCCAGTGTGTCAGCTCCAGGCCACTTCCAGTTTGCCGCTTTGCCTGTGAAAGCTTCTTGTACTCCTCAACCCAAGGAAACAGACATATCCCAAAGTTTCTGCACAGTAAACACCTCCCTCATGTATTTAAGATTTGTGCTAATAAATGCTTGGTTTCCAACGTCAAGATTTTATATTAATGTCCTGGGTTACATCTGGGCTGGCTGGATTCTGATTGCAGGGTGGATCACAAAGAGCAGGACACAGATTGTAACTGGGGATTAGCAAAATACAAAAATCCGATTTTGCACAGGGAAAGCATCAGTCAGTGATGGATTTTCTGGACTTCATCAAGCTCGTAGGAGGCCAGTAATCAGCATTACTTACAAATGGCCGTTGAAAGCATTTCTTCCTTCTATTGAGTTGTTGAATGTGAAAAAGAAAAACCAAAAAGCTATTGCATAAATCCAAGTGCTTGGATCTTTTTTGGCTTTTATGACAAGTCAATCTACACAGCTCTTGCTGTTGCATAGACAAAATGTTTGTGGATGTCATGGGTCATTTATGCTCTTCTTTCTAGCAGACTCTTTTTTTTAAATGGAAATGCCAGACCTGCACCAATCCCTTGGGATTCTGCTGATTTTGTAGGCAAACTGCTAAGTTTGGCTAGCTTCTCAGAAAAAAATATCCTGGCATTCCTAATTCATCAGCCAGTCTTAAAATTTGGAACATTTTAGCCATGCCACAGAAAACAGCTCTGACATGTGCCACCTGTTTGATTTTTTTGGCTGTTTGTTGTATTTTATGGGGTGTTTTTGTTGTTGGGTTTTTGGTTTTTTGTTTTGGTTTTTTTTTGTGCTAACATCCCCAAATGTCATTCCACCAAAAGAGAAGATATTTGACTACTCGCACTGCTTCCAACAGACCCAACATCTGTTATATCCTGGTGGTAAAAGTGCTGAAAACAATCAGATACGAGATTTGAGTCCAAGTGGATCTTGCTGCTTTCCACTAATGGTTGCCCAATTGTGATCCCCATACTCAGAATATCTCATAGATAACTCAGGATCTGCAGTGTTACAAAACAAAAGATAAATCCACTTCCTTTATATTCTGCCAGCTGGAACCTGAGCTCTGTAATATCCAAAGCCTAAATAATAAAAGAATCGTTCAACTCTTCATTTTGCCCCACATAAATCTGATTTTTTCTGGAGATCAATCGTTCTTCTGCATCACTATAAAAGGATACATGGATTTTTCATGGGCCAAAATGTTCTGGATGTCAGCGTAGTCAGGGAGGTGGTGTCACAGACCTAATTTCAGGATCTTGCTAGAACAGCCATTAATAGACCTGAGTCCAGATATATCCAATAAACAAACAAGACTGGGGTCTTGTCCAACTCATTAAAGTACTTGATTGAATCTCAGCATAATGGCAATGGAAGAATGCGTGTAAGATCCTGGAAAATTTGTAAGCACAATCTTCAGAACTCCCTCAACTAGATACAAAAAAAATACTGTAGCAGCTTTTAAAACACAAAAAACCCCTTAAGACCAGCAGCACCATAGCATAGCTCTGTGAAGAAATGCAGTCATTCCTGCTCTAGGGCTTTTCATTAGTACTAGATTTGTTATAGTTTAATAACAATAGTTTGTTTTCTGCAATGTTGAGTGGACCCCATCAGGAAAAGGATTCTCTTTTAAGTGCTACATAAACCTATAACAAAAATTAGCTCTTGCTCAAGAAAGCTTATGGTCTAAGGATAAACAGTGGCCTTACAGAAGTAAAAGGGAGCTCTGCTGCTCCAACAGAGCCAGTATCTTGTTCTAAATAAACAAAGGCCAACTCAGACAGCTTTTAGCTTTACTTTAAGCAGTGGTCCCAGGGCATTAAAAACCAAGCTGTGGGGTTTTCTTAAGCTTCAAATCTGCTGGGGGAAGTATTCCCAGTATAGGCATTTTTGAAAAGGATAGCATGGGAAATCAGAGAAGATATTGGCTGGAAGAAGAGCAAGTGCAAAATCAAAGTGCTATCATTCCAGTGGAGACGAGGGCTTTGATAGGTTAAAGAAAATGATAAGGTAAAAATCAGCTGTGGAGAGGCATCAACATTTAGGCATTAGTTTTCTGCATTTTAAAAAGGAAAAAAATGGGTCCTGTACTGCTGCTAAGCTGTGTAAATTTTTTTATTATTACTATTCCAGGTCTGAAAGCATACTGTCAAAATCGATAATACACATCGTCACTCTGTTGCAAGCAGGCAAACTGTGACTCAAACACATCTCAGTGCAGTAGCAACTGAGAAACAGATTACAGGCACACAGACCCTGCTGACTCTTGTCATATTTTATGGGTAATCCACAAACTAGATACTCCTAAATAAAGAGCAAGTGGGGTTCCTCCTGAGACCATTGCATGTTCAGCATCCCTGGTTCAAAATTACACTAAATGGAAGGGAATTAGGTGACGCTTCACAGGGGTTTTCTCCCCAGTTTCACAGCATTCCCTGTCCTTCTCCATATCACTCTTCAGGGAACCATTTCACCAGAAAATCAGACTCCAGAGAAAGACATAAAGATTGAGGCAGGATGTCAGTTAAGGTATTTCTGTTTTTTCAGTCTTTCTGTCTAAAATCCTTAGTATGAACAAGGTCTGTAAAATGGATCCAGAATAGCAGAGCTCCTGTAGCATAACATATCAGTGCAGCTATACCTGCAAAAACCCTTTCACTGTAAACCTGTTCTCTGCTAATTAGCCATATTGTTGCTTAGAAATAACCTGCCAGATCTAATTACTTAGCAATGCTGGCCACAGCTCAACTTGGGCTATTCACTCAAGACAGAACCAGTCTGTTGTATATTTTCCTTTTGTGGCTGGTCTGTTGAAACTAACAGTCAAGTCTTGCAACAGAGATTATGGATATAGTTGTTTTGTTCTTGGAGGACAATATATATTTCAGAATAGCCATTACTCTGATTAATCAGTACCCAACTGAATGATGCATGCTTTTAAATTAATTTTATATCAGTGTGAGTGGACAACTATTAGGGCTTGAAGGGTTGTGTTGTTTTTTATTCTTACATTTTGTTTTTACTCTTATTTTTCCTAGGCAAATAGTAGCATGCTTTTATCTAGAATGATTTGGGCTTTGGGGAGCAGTTACCATCATGAATAGCCCGGAAAATGACATGGTTTTCCAGGAACTGTCTGAAAGAACTGGGGACAGTAACCATCAGCAATAGCCTTCAGTAACAACTATATGGTTTTCCAGGAACAGTCTGAAAGAGCAGGTTAAGTTTTGATTTTTTTCTGAAACATTAGGGAAGGTGACAGCTGGTCTGTTGATTTTGTAGTGCATTTTTTTAGGCTTTAACTGAAATTCAGAGGAGCTGATAAAAGACAAATTAAGGCAATGCTGTGAATTTGGCATATAAAAAAGACATAGAATTTAGCACTGCTGTGGCAGCTTTCAGTGAACTCTTCATTCAGGCAGTACAGTATTCATTGTACAGGTGAACAAGACATGACACAATGTCTATCCAGAAACAATTTATTTTTCCAGGGGCTAAAGTGTACCAGATTCTAGGAAAACTGTATGCACTAGAGGGACTTTTTTTTTTTGTCCTGGAGGAGCAATCTGAAGGGTTTGGGTACTCAGATCAGTAAGACATCCCAGAATCCATATGCAAAGTGGCAATTTTTGCAGCAGATACTGGGACAGGCAATGCCTAAAGTGTGATGCAGAAGGTGTCCAGATACATTTTTATTCTTGAAAACTGATGGCTTGGCAGTAACAGTTGCCCTAATGAGGTTAAGTCCTGCTGCTAAATCAGGTTTCTAAGAGTAGAGAGCCTTAATTGTTATTACGGTATGAGAATTTGTCAGAATGGGTCAAAAATAGGCAGGGCTGAGGCAGTGCCAGCAAGCCAGATTTTTTAAGCCTGTGGACATCACAGCATTCTAGGTGCATAGGAGGACTGCAGCTTTTCAGTGTAGTAGAAGCAGTCAGTCATCGTCTTCTTCTTCTGGGGAGTGAATGTGAAGACTATGAGGATTTAGCAGCACCTCTATCTCAAGTCTTGGTTTTCCACAGTGCAGAAATCCAGACATTTTTTCATGCAATTAAGAATGGCTGAGTGGTATCCTTAAACGGGGAGTTGTAGCTGGCCTCCTTAAGTCCCTGATTGGTAAACCTTCTATGTTTTACCCACATGCACATTTTTCTCCTTCTAGGTGAATATACTATTATGACAGCCCATTTTCATCTGAAAAGAAAAATTGGTTATTTTGTCATCCAAACATACCTTCCTTGCATTATGACTGTGATCTTATCACAAGTGTCGTTTTGGCTAAACAGAGAATCTGTCCCTGCTAGGACTGTCTTTGGTGAGTATCCCCCTCTCTCCTAGAACATAGATAGGATTGATCTGGCTTGTGGAAGTGATTTGCTGTAACAAAACCACATTTCACTAATGTTTATTTCTGCTTGAGATGTTGTAGACGTTTCCTCATTCTCATCCAGTTCAAACTCAAAATCCATTTAAAAACACTGTCAGGGCTTTTTTCCAAAGTTATGACAGAAATTGGTCAAGAATCAATTACATGAAAGTTAAAGACAGAAGACAGAAGAATCAGATTGGTGTGATTTGTGTTGGGTTTTTTCCACTTGGGTAAAATACTGGATGGTTTAGAACAAAAAGACATACAGGTTATCATATTTAGTCTATACTCTAGCTAAGCATTTAAAACAGATTTCACTCAAGACATTTTATCTCTGTTGTAGGATGTTTATCTGGGAAAACCATGAAGAGGTTAATTAGTGACAATTATCTCTATTACCATCAAACAAATTAATATGAATTTGCATTTAGAAAATGTGTATTTACTAAAGAAATTGTTATGGAAAAAATCTTTGGGGTGTCATTAATTTACTTATTTTATCACTAGAAGATTGCAGAAAATAAGCACTCTCTTAAATGAAGGTTGATGAAATACAAAATTTTCACTAGATGAAAAATGAGGGGAGTGGGAACAGTTTATTACATAAAACTCTGTTCACCTGTCCTTAAAGAAGTAATTTTTTTCTACAAACCTACTGAAATCAGTTGGCAGCTTTGATCAAACATCAGTTCAGCAAGTTGTATGGGGAGAATACAGGTAGCAGCATCCCTTTGCTGACCGAGGGTACCCATTCTAGATTTACAAAGGTGTAACTGAGAGTTGAATTTTGTACTCTTGGGGAAATCTTCCCACAGATGAAAGTAGTGGCAGGTTTGTCAATTACTGGCCTATGGGAAAGGAGGAGCTATGGTCAGGGAAACCAATAACAGTCAACAATTTCATACCTGCAATCTCTGTGTAAGAAAACAAACTAAGTAATCTCACTTTATTCTGACTGTTAAAAACACTGGGCTTCTGTTACCCTAAAATACTTATTTAAATACACTATAGCTAGAGATAACCAGAACCCCACAGGATTACACATTTAGGGTAGAGGCTTTCATTTTTTTTTCTTACTCTTTCAGACCATAATATGCAAACAGCGATTGACTTCATGTGGGCTTCTTAGGTATCTTGCATTGGGACCTGCTCGTAGCTCATTAGTGATCCCATAGAGCTTAGGAAACTGATCTCTGCCTCTTTTATTTTTTCCTTCTTTGCAGGAGTAACAACAGTCCTCACCATGACCACCTTAAGTATCAGTGCCCGTAACTCTTTGCCAAAAGTGGCCTACGCTACTGCAATGGACTGGTTTATAGCTGTTTGCTATGCCTTTGTATTTTCTGCATTGATTGAATTTGCAACAGTCAATTATTTCACCAAGAGGAGTTGGGCATGGGATGGCAAAAAAGCCCAGGAAGCTGCAAAAATCAAGGTGCTTAACTTAGATTTTTTAAATACCTAAAATAAAAAGCAGGTACTCAACATAGTTCAAATAACGGAATAGTCAGTTTTCAGGTTCTTCATGAAAAAGTTAAACTACCTCATGACATACTTTCACCTCCCTGTAGAGGAAAATTTGCAAGTAAATATGGCACCTTCTCTTCGTGGAGATAGACTACCAGTCTCTATCATCTATATGAAGAGGACTTTTTACAGAAGGATATTGGGCATTGTGTGCATGTGGCATGGGATTTCAGTGACCGGACTTCTGATAATAGCAAACTTACACTATGAAACATATCTCTGCAGAGCCCTCCCCTCGTGCTCTCCTAAATAAATGGCAAAGCTCAATTGATCTCCATGAGTCGGGGTTCCACCACAGTATCCCCCCCAAAAAGGGGACAAAAGAGCTGTTCTGTGAAAAGACAAACTTTTGAATTTCATGCTGAAATGAAACCTTTGGAATAGGACTGACTCTTAGTAAACCATCTCCTAGAGAGAGCTTGTACCCACAGGCATCCCAGATGAGCCATACAAAAAGACAAGCTGGCAGGGGCAATGAGCCCTTCCCCACACTCTTTGCTGCACCCAGGGAAGTGAGATTCACATCTTGTCAGCTGCCCATGGGGCAGCAACCTCTGCAGGTGCAGGACTGCATCGCCCTGAAAAAAGGAGCTGCTAATGCACATGCCAGGTGGGATGCAGGTCCAGCCAGTCAGTCTCAGCTTACTCTGGTGTCAGGGAAAGTTTCACCTGACTAAAGGGCTACAAAATCAAGGCAAACCCTTGTTTGGTAGTCAAAGTCAGAACAGCCAACAGGCTTTTATTAGCATGATTGATTATGGTGCTTAGCTTTTTCGGTTAATATCTTGAGAACATATTTCCACTTTCTGTTCATGTGGTCTAAAATGTTTGTTCTTTACACTGCAGAAAAAAGAGCGCAACTTGTTGGGAAATAAATCAACTAATACTTACACAACTGGGAAGATGACCCCTGCACCAAACATGCCAAAGGACTCAGCCCCATCTGTCATCTCAAACACTACATCTGCTCCAGTGAAGTCTGCAGAAGAAAAGCCTGCTGAAAGCAAAAAGACTTACAACAGCATCAGTAAGATTGACAAAATGTCACGGATAATTTTTCCAGTGCTGTTTGGAACTTTTAACTTAGTTTACTGGGCTACATATTTGAATAGGGAGCCTGTAATTAAAGGTGCCAATTCTCCAAAATAAACTGAAGTACTCTGAAGCCACATGTGAGCCATACTTACAAAGCAGATGCTACCAAGGAAAATTTGAGATCCAGATGACTTTCTACACATTTGGGCAATATTCTTCAGGAAGTTTTTTGCATGTTTAATAATATGTACAAATAATATTGCCTTGATTGTTTCTACATGTAACCTCAGATGTTTTGGAGACGATTATATTACTTACAGCAATTGATCTTTATAAAAGATCAGAAGACATTGAACATGGCTTCTTTGCTGCTGAGTATCTTGCATTGATAGTTTACAAATAAAATAAGTTATATTTTTTAACTGTTCAAGTGTACTACATATCGTGGTTTTTATACTTCAGATGTACAGTCATTCAAATATAGGCTTAACCTATATTTTACAGAAGAGCTCTACTGTTGTCATCTGATAAGTTACTGAGTAACGCCAGTTGTAAATGTGCCAAATTATTAAGTGTAGGGCTATGTTTGAGCACCTTTACTAGTTACAGGCAGTGCATTGCTCCACAGATAAAACTGCTCAGCCCAATTTTCATTGGAAGTTAAAAACAATGCCATAAATCCTAATGGGACTATGCAGATTTTCACTGCTTGAGACTCTAGCTTGCACTGAAATAACATAGGGAGCAGGATGCTACTTGTGTAAATAAAGTGGTGGAATCTTGCACTTAAATGAAAAGGTTTGTTTGGATTTTGCATTCCAAGAAATTTTGTCTAATGATTCTCAGTATTTATTCCAAAAATTAAGAGTTATATTGCATGAAATTAACATAGATTAGGAACATACTTGTGCAAATAAAACTTTTAACAACAGCAGTAGACATTTTTATCAGGGTAAAGTAAATGATGTTTGGACATTTTCCCCAGAAGAAGATTGCGTTATATTAGCAGAGATTATGCTGCAGTAATTATTACTTGTTTCCCACAGCAAAAACCAGTCAGCCAACACTAAGGGGTGTAATAAGAAAAAAATATGTACTTCATGACAGCAAGGTGTTTCAGTGACAATATTGGCAGAAAGGTCTTTGTACTGTCCATCTGAAACTTTTCTATAAAACGCCTTGCTGCTGACAATGTGTTTTGCTTTCACAATGAATGAGAAAATGCAGTCTGAGTTTTCAGCTCTTTCCTCCTTGGCATCCTTTAATTGTTCCAGAAGCTTTTGTATTTAAATCTTAATGTTTAAATAAAAAATGCATTCAACATTTGATTGCAAAATGTTATTCTTATACTGGTTATCTTTTTAGAAAGACCAAAAAGTCACACCACAGGAGCTGAAGAATTAACTGGAAAGCACACATGCATGCACTTGATCACATAACATGTTTACATGACGTGTGCACGTGACACATCTTCCCTGTTACCCAGAAAGGAATATGTCTTGAGTGAAGACAGTGGATCGAATTATTTCAGAATTAGGTTCTATCTTGCTATGGAGCATCAGCCCTGTGATCTTTTTGGGACAGAGAGGAGAGTTTGTGCTTCACTTTGAAATGAGGGTCTTGATCTGGGACTGGGTAGCTGTCTGGGCTTCTTATATGTGTTCTCTTCAACCCTTTCATTCCCAAACATTTTCATTGCCAAGAAAAAATCTCGTACATCTATTCCTTTTTGAAGCTTTTTGTTTGATGCTGTGGAATGAGAAATTTGCAAATTCTCAGTGGCAATGGAGAAGCCATGGGATTGGGCAGATGACTGTATACTGATAAAGAGGAGAAAGGCAGGAACATGCCCATCTATTTAGTGCTATCCTGAGCCAAGGTGAGGATGTGGATCTCTGTTTTCATGTAGGCTTCCCATGTGTGTTTGAGCAGCCGCAGACTTCTTGTTCATCATCCTTTTGGGGGGAATCCCTTTGGCCCTTTGGGGATCAAAAATAGTGAAAAATTTCAGTGCCTACTGGGAGGCAAAACTTTATATAAAAGTCTCATGGCTATTTCTTGAGATGAGAAACTGAGAGAATTTCATAACTGAGTTGCATGAATGAGAAACTCAGAGCCATCCTTACAGCACCTTCTCCAGGGCAATTTGTCTGCCCCAGAGGGTTTCTGTGCTTTATTTGCTTACACCCAAGTCTGACTCATACTCTGTATGGCTCAGTATGATTTTCTGGTCTCTGTTGCAGGACTCGGTGCCAGGACCTCTAACTCTGATCTATTTTACTTACATGGAAAGTCTCATCTTCAGCGAGTACAGATCTACCCACAGAGTAGTATGGCCACAGGATCAGGTCATTTGCTTTATTCTAGTATACAATTTGTTGGTGTTTACCGGTTGTATAGAGGACCTGATATGCCAAAAGCATATGGCACCACAGGCATTCTGTACAAAAATCACTTCCAGTAGAATTGACTGTCTCTTTCTATGTTTGAAGGTAAAGGTGGAAAATAATGATTAGAGCTCATTCAGTTAATGTGGACTTGCTAAATGAGGTTGAAGTTTCCTAATCCTTGCTGAGAACTGAAATGATAGAAGAAGAAGAAGAAGAAGCCACCTTCAATGTGTGCTTGTGCAGGAACACTAGGTGTTGTCCCATAGTTTGGAAGATGCTTCAATAAACCAACAGATTCCAGACTACTTAAATGCCACTGCCTCGCATTGCACAATACCTAAAAATTTAAATCTCTCCACAGTCAGTGAACTATTTGTGTGGGAGACCATTACTCACTGAGATGGCATCTGAAATGTGAGAGATGGGAGCATTTCCCAGATCCTATCTCAAAGGAAACACCTTGGCCTTGTCCTGCTCCAGGCTGGGGTGGTATCTGGATGTGCATCAATCTCTGGTTTCCCCTGGAAGTAGCTTGGGCTTTCAGGAGTGGAGTGAGCTGTGTCCCTGTCCCCAGCATGGGTGAACTGGGGCCCTGTGGGACACATCTACTTAACGGCCAAAGAGAATTATAAATAGGAATGGCTTCTCATCGGGTTTTTCTTGTATGCTATCATTGAAAAAGAATTGAAAAGAGAATTACAATTCAGCACCATAGAGTAAGTATGTGCAGTCTGCTTCTAAATTTCTTTACTTGCACATATTAAGAATGAAAGAACAAGCTGAATACAATGGAAAAGGTCTTTTGGTTCTGATATTTGAGCTGTGCCAACTTACTCCCAGGATGAATTTAAGCAATAACATGTTTTCTAAAGTTTAACCCTCTTCTGTTATTTCGTGTTCTGCTTTTTTTCTAAATGGAATACACTTTCTGTGGAATAGCTAAACATATTTGTACAAAACTGAGAAAGAAATTGTTTTATTAAATAATCATGTCTTTCAAAAATTCTTGCTCAACATGTAAGTTAAACTTTCAAAAAACTGAATGAAACTGTTTTGCTATTCAGTTTATGCAGGCAAGATGCACAGCTATTTGATTTTTAAGCGTGGAGATAAAGTTCTTTGTAATGAGGATGTGTTTCCCCTAACACCTTTGCTTCTCAGATTGGAATTGACATTGAAATGACCAAATTGCTTGAATTCTTTCTGGCTTTTTATATGTTTTTATGTCACTACAAGTACTAAAGTTATGGTCATTGCTTGGTGACTCTCAGATGACATCTTTGCTTTACCGATTTTGTGTCTTCCATTATCTTGTTATAGACATTTGTTCAATTTAGAGGAAGACAGAAAGATTGGAAGTTAGATTTTATGAAGCCCAAATGAATTCTAAAAGATATTCTTAGGATTACCACTAATTTAGACTGAAGTGGAAGTGTCCCATTCTGTAGTGCATTATTTGCCCTTTTCATTGCCATCCTTAAAAGCAATTATTACTCCTCACAGTCATCATGTCTTAAAAGCTTCTGTTTAAATTGGCCTGGCTAAAGACAAACTGAAAAGGAAATTGAGAATGTTGATTGAAGATACCAGTTTATTTCAGTTAGATGAATTTGGAGAGATTTTGAAAAATACTGATAGATTGCAATTGACTGGACCAGCAATGATAGGGTTGGATTCGTAGGTGGGAAAATAACTGCACATAAGATTAAAAAAAACCACATAGCTTGTCACATATATGACAATAAGTGCTGGAACCAGCCACCCATGGCAGTTTTGGCCTCTGGGTCTGGACTCAGTTCTTCATTCACTGCTGGCTGGTGTTATTGATGTCCTCAGGAAAACTGCTCCTCCCTCTTCTGCCAGCATGTGAATGTGAAGATGCTGAAAAGCTGCAGCATGGCACATCAGGGGGGATTCTCCATATCCTGCCAGAGAGCAGAGAGTACTGTGCTGAAGGACAGAGCTGAGGGCACACAGAAAGTGTCTGGACCTCTGCAGTTCAATTTCCTAACTCAAGCAGAGTTATTTATAGGAGCAGAGTGCTTCCAGCAGTAGCGACAGAGACCTTCAGTCCGAATAAACTGGCCCTAAGACTCATATAAAATCTCTAATAAGCCTCCAGCTGGAGCACTCCAGAAGCTGTAGAAGACAAGTTTCAGGTCCTTCCTACTTTGTCTCAGAGGAGCCTCAGTTCCCTTCTGTGCTGCTTGTGGTATAAGTAGCACTGGGGTGCTAGGAAAACCACCAGTAGGGCTCTCTTTCAACATTTAATCTCAGAAAAGTTCAGGTGCCCAAACTGTTCAGTGCTAGAGAGGAGGCTCCCAGTTCTAGCAAGTGAAGCACTTGATCTATGAGTCCCATTCCCTTCCTCCGCATTTTCCCCCTCGATTTATGTTAACTAGCACCCTGCACAGCTACTTTCAGGGACTCATATTTCCCCATTGTACAACATATACCAAAAAGGTATCTCTTAGGTTGAAGACAGTCACCTCCTGTGAAAATGCAAAGAGAGGTAAGTTAAATGTGGGTCCATTTTATTGTGCTAAAGAATATAAACATTTTTCTATTGTTATAGGATATGATAAAATGTTATTTTGTTAAACATATGCTGGATAATCATGCCCCTTACCTGAATACACAATTTGGAAAAGCTCAGCAAAGGCAGAGCGTGCTTAAAAGTAAAATAAAAGCATGTGAGTATGAAGAGGAGAAGCAGAAATGACCGAGGCATGAAGTGTAACGAAGAGTGGTGCTAAAGCATCCCTTTAGCAGTAACACATAGCTCGCAGAGGCCAACAGAAAGAAAACCTTACATCACCTTTTTTTTCCTTACTGCCTGAGGAGAAGGATGCAATTATTAATGACCGTATAATTTCGCTCCAGCCTTGGGGCTTGCTGCCACAGTGCAAGGGAAGAGAGGACACTGTGAAGGTCTTCCTGGAGAGCTGGGTGACTCGATGGCCACGTACAGCTCCAGTAGCGACACACGGTCACCGACAGGGGTAACCGAGGGCTCTGTCGCCGGCTGGAGGCAGTCTGGGGTGGGGGACTCAGCCCCATCCCTCGCGCTTCCCAGCGCCGCCGCCAGAGGATCCCGCCGCCGCGGCAGGAGGTGACGAGGGCGGGACAGGGATGGCGGGCGGGGTAAGAGGCGGAGCCGCCGCTGCGGGGAAGCCAAAGCCACCGCCGGCCGGGAGGGGAGGGCGCGAGAGTCCGGCTACTCGAAGTAGGGTGTAGCGTTGGACTCGCGCTCGCCGTCTCTCCATAAATCGCTACCGTCTTTTTGGCACGATACCATCTGGGTTCCTTATGCCGCCCACCCAGGCACTGGCAGAGGCAAGGCGGTCCCCAGCCGCCGCTGCCAGCAGAGCGAGCACCCTCTGCCCCGGCAGCCGGCTCCGATGCTGCGGCACCGCCCCAGATGCTCGCGCTGCCGGGCTCCCGGGCAGAGGGGTTGGGGCCGAGCTAAGCTTTTATTTATTCAAGTTGTGTGCCTGTGAATACACACATTTTTCTATATGGCCAGCGTAGTAGTAGCCGGCGATGGCGAAACCCCTTCCTGCATGGAGGGCGCTTCCCGTCGTTACTTCCGAAACGCGCGGGAACTGCGAGCCAGGACGTGAGTACCGCGACCTCGGAGTCCTAAGTGATGTTTCCATAAGCACCAGCCCTCAGAAAACCTTCAGGTGCCTGAAAACTCTGGCCGTGCTGCGATGCCGGCGGCAGGGTGGAGCCCGGTACCACCGGGACTCATCGACACTCAGCAGGAGTTTCTCCCGTCGCTGCGGCGCGGCAGCTCCCGCGCTCGCCCCGTCCCGCCTCCCGCCCACCCCACGGCGCCGGTGTTCCCGCAAACTTCACATCAGCGGATGGGCGTGCTGCTTGACCGGCAACGTAGCTATTCCTGCTAAAATTCAGGCAACCCCCGAGCTCCCGCCGACCCTTC